ACACAAAAGATATTTTGAAGAATGTGGGTAACCAAACAGTTGCTGATCCCCATTGATTTCACAGTATTTTCCCCCCCTCCATACTATGAAAGTCAATGGGGACCAGCAACTGTTTGGTTACCCACATGGAAATCAATGGAAGACAATCTGTGATCATTTACTCATGATTTTCTTTCTTTTGTTGAACATAAAAGAAGATATTTTTAAGGATCTGGGTAACCAGAAAGTTGATGGTCCCCACTGACTTCCATAGTACTTTTTTCCCAAACTACGTCAATGGGGACCACTATAAACTGTTTGGTGACCCAGATTCTTAAAAATATCTTCATATGTCCAACAGAAGAAAGAAATTCATCAGTCAATGATGACAGAATGTTCTTTTTTGGGTGAACTCTCCCTTTAATTGTCATCTATCAATCACAAAGTGTGTTTCACAGAATTCCTTGATATCTCTTGCACAATGTATAGCAGACCTGGAAGACCTCCTCATCCAGGAGACGGGCTCCAAAGACAGTGATGCCCTTGGTGTCCAAGACTGGGTTGTTGCTACGTGGCAGAGTTTTTGTAATACGATTCTTGCAGTCAAGGATCAGAGTGATGTTCTTCTTCTGCACAGAAATGGCAATGCGGTGCCACCTATAGGACGAGAGGAGATATTGAATGTTTAACTGGGCAGATAGTCACAAAGACTTCCTATATATAGTTTATGTGTTTGCCAAGAGCCATTAATATAGACTGTAAGGAACCTTTCAGCCCCTGCGTACAAAAGTGATGTTTACTATTCACCCAATAGTTACACATCACATTACTTGGAAACTAACAGCATCGTGGTTGCATAACACAAATAATTATAATATATTTGAAACTGGATGGGCTGATGGGGCTCAGCAGGCATTAGTTACTGACTTGCCGTCAGCCAGGTTGACCCCTTTGAACAGTGGGTAGTCCTCTGGGGCGGGTTTGCGATTCTGGTCCTCATACAGGAAGATGGGCGAGCGTCCCAACTCTAGACCGAGCTGCTGTACACCTTGCTCATTGTAGATGGACAGCAAGAAGGCCTGAAGACCAGCCTTGGCCTTTACCAGAGTCATGATGGAGAAATTCTCCGGGAAACGTCCTACAGGAATGGAATTAAAAATATATATAAAAAATCAGAAATATGAAGATTTGAGGCAAATAAAGCAGGTTATTTCAAGCACAGACACATTTGCAGTCTGGAATAAACCTATGATTCATGACTCAACTTGCATAAATTGCACACAATTCATTGTGTGCAACATTCAGATTTAGTTTTAACTATGCAACCATCTCATTAGCCACTGAAAAGCTCTCATCCTGCTTTTGAGGAGTAATTGCATGTTAGGGACCAAAATGATTGTCACCCAGACCCAGTAATCTTTCTAAGCATATAAAAAAAAACTGCAATCAAAATACCCAGCTAGAAAATAATTTCACGCTTAATATAATATATAAATATAATGCACTTTCCCAGTACCCAAAATATAGGGAAAGTGCAAAATGTTCTAATTGTATATACAAACATCTAAAAAAGTATGCAGCCGTCAGTTTTTACAAGTCTCAGCACTTTCCCTTCCAAGCCTTTCAATTATGAACCTATCCTTTACACAAATGTCCATTTTGAATTCCTTCATATTCCAGACACATACTGACATACCATAAGCAGCTTTCAGATACATTTCACTGTAACTGGTGTTTGTATAGATAAAACATGTTAAAACAATTGTGTCTATGAACGCAATAGAATGTCTTCAGGTCTGGTTTATAAGATTAACGGTTATTAAAACGATTATAAAAGGATCGTACTTGAGAATAGTTGTTTGGTGGGGGCAGAGATCTGGGCTTTCTTAGTGATGCGGTAGGCATGATCAGGAGTGCCGGACCGGCGGGAGGTGCAGAAACCCGGGACCTTCTGCACACCTTCAGGGAGGGAAGGCAACTGCAGCACCCGCAAAACATCGACTGGATCTGTAGAAGTAAAAGAGTTTGGCCATTGTTAGAATAAAGATACTTTTAACATTAATTTATCATTTTGGTTTATAATTATGCATTCATATTAATCTTTTCAGTTCATTTAGATCCAAAGAGAACCAACAGCATACTTTATTTTTATTTTTCAGACAAGATAAATGCGAGTTCAAACAGACGTTGAATCATTCAACAGGCCCCACACAGCCAGGTTTTAAAATGCTATGTCTGTTTCCATCTTCCTATTGCTCTTGGCAGCTCTGTTGCTCTTTATGGGATTCATATGAATCCTGATGCCATCTGCTCAACCCACAATGTGTACTACATTATTAACTGTCTAAAACTATGTTAAACTCTCTAACAAGTCTTAATGTATTTGAAATACGTATTTGAGGTTAAACATGTTTGGCTCTGTCTACTCTTTCTAGTGCTTGAAAAATCTATTTCCTTTCATTTTAGTGCTGGCACTTTCCTCTGAGGCTCTGCCAGTATTTTTTGTCCCTATTACCACATTGACCAAAATATGGTCTGGGTATTACCACAATGGGTAGTTAAGTTATTTTGTATTTAGCAACTACTATAGGCCAAAAATAAGGAACTGTACTTATGTAAACTAATTAAAATGTGAGTACACAGCTAGCCATACACATTTAAAAATATAAAGACATATGACAATATTGTCATTGTAATAGATGACAATAGACTATAGAGGAGCAGTGTACAATATTCAACACAATACTGTAAGGATGAAAGAAGTTCAAGAGTGCAGAAATCCTAAATGGGGCTTCTAGCTCAAATGCAATGCTTCCTTGATTCTCAAAAGGTGAACCTATTCCAATGCTGGGAGACAGAGATGAACAAGAAAGAGAAAGTATCTGGGCACTGTATCGGTTTCCAGAAGAGACCATGTGCACAATGTATGGCACTGTTGGAGACCTCAACCACAGCACTATATATGTCCGCTGGGCCTTCTTGGCTAAACTGGATAAAATAAGGAGGGAGACGCCCCAAAAGCATTTCCCAAATAGAGCAAATTAGGATAGGAATCATGGCAAGCACAAATAAAATAAGACTTTGTAGGCAAAACAGAAAAAAAAGAGAATGAAAACTCTATATATATCATATAATTAGGTTAAAACATTTTTTTGATCATATATTTTTGAAATATTAATTTAAAATTGACATTAATATATTATATTAAATATAACAGAATGAGCATTTATCTTACACAAACATTCCTCCAAAAAAAAGGCACTCTCTTATCAATAAAGCTGTCAGTGGACACTAGGTGAAATGATCAGACAAATCATCTCAAAATAGCTAAATATCAGCTGATTAATCAACCTAAATCAGTCGTATCACTACTGTTAAGCCATGTATTTATTACAGAAGACATTATCGCTTCTGTTGCATCTACCAAACACCAACACTGAATAGAGATTATCAAACGTTTTGTACATGGTAAACATGTCCTTGAATGCCTACAACCAAGGGTCACTGGATGCTCTCACACCGAGTTCACAAACAAGCACTGTGTGCTCAAACAGTCTGCAAACAGG